AGCTCGGTAGTCGATGCACATGCGCAGGCTTCCGTCCGGTTTCGGTGTGAAGAGTACTGGGGCACCGTATGGCGAAGTAGATGGTCGGATGAGTCCTTTGGCTAGGAGATACTCGATCTGCGTCTTCATGTCGGTCAGCTCCGTAGGGCTGAGCCGGTATGGTGCTCGGAAGGTCGGCTTCGAACCCGGTTCCTCCACGATCTCGTGTTGATGCGTTCGGTATGGCGGTAGCTCGTTCGGAAGATCGTCAGGAAGAATGTCTTGGAACTCCTTCAGTAATTCCTTGATTTTTTCTGGAGTTTCCGAGGCTTTCTCTCCGTCATTCTCCACCTCTGTTGCTATCGCCAGGAACCCGGTGTCGGTCCGCTTCACATCCTTCTCGAATCGTGCGAGTGTCTCCACTGGGATATCTCCAGTGTCGTCCCAGTTGGGTAGCTGTACTCTCCGTCCATTGTTGTAGATGCTTGCGGTGCGGTTCACCCAGTTGATCTCGGGGTTGAATCTTTTCAGGAAGTCTCGCCCGAAGATCAAGTCAAGCCCTTTGATGTTGGTGATGGGGAGTGCAGGTCTCCAGCGCAGTGGTCCGATTTGTAGATGTAGCACTGCTTCGCCGTGTACTGGTAACTTGCTGCCGTCCACCATCGTTGCAGAGAATCCTGAAGGCTTGTACTCTTCCCGGAGTCGGTCGATCATTGCCTTGTCGCAGACGGTGTGTGACGCTCCGCTGTCCACGAGTGCTTGGAGGCGTCGTCCTTTGCAGATGACCTCGAGCACGAGGGGCAGTCGTTGCTCGGAGTACCCAAAGATAGTTTCATTGATTGGGTCATAGGGTACATCCCAATGTTCCGTACACACCTTTGTGTTGTTGTCTACTCCTGAGCTGGCAGCTGGCCGAGGCTGCTTGGAGAACGGCTCTTCCCCAGGGCCCGGAGTTTCTTTGACGACTGTGCGCGTCACTGATGCCGAAGAACTGGATGCATCCGTAGAAGGAGTTCGGGGTTTGTGCAGCTTCTTGTAGACCCCCAGCTTCCTCTTGAGCTGCTTCAGCTCCACCGACGTCTTCCCTGGGGAGCGGGTAGTCGTTGTGGGCTGGTGTCGGGAGAGGACGTTGACTCCGTGGAAAGGTCGGCTTCTTTCCACACTCCTTAATTTGGTCCCCAAGTTGTCCGGTACCGGTATAATCTCCACAGCTGTCTGCTTCTTTTGGAGTCCCTCCCGAATTTTCTCCAAGGCTCTAGCCCCTCGAACATCATAAGTTTTCATTAAAGCATCTTTATAAGATAACTTTAACGAATTCTTATAATTTCTTGGGTCTTCAAGGAGTTTCCCCGTCTCGGCAGAGTCTTTTTTCGCGGAGTCTAATTTTTCCTCGGCGATTTTCCCTGGCGAAGACTGGTCGTGGGGTGGAGATTTTCCCCCATCATTTTCTCCTGCTCGCGTCGAATCAGCTTCGTCGAAGTTGATTTTTCCGGAATCCCGCGGCCGCTTTCGGATCTTTTTATTTTCGCCAGCTAGATCCGCAATCACTGGCGACTCCCGTTTTTTGTCTTCTGATTGGCCGAAAGATTTCCGCCACTGTTGCGTGCCCGATACTCTGCGCGTGCGGCCTTCATTTTGTTGCAGTCGAAGATTCGGTGGCCCGGCACCCCGCAAAAATCACACGTGTAGTTGGTGTTTTTTGGACGTGGTCGCCCCTCGAATCTGTCGACTTCCATCGGGTCGGCGAACGTGGTGTGAGCCGAGCGGTCGCCCTGTCGCGTACTGCCGACGTGCGTCCGTCGTGTTCCGGCGTTGACCATGTCGAAGCGCTCCGCGGCCGAAACGACGTCACTGTAGCTCGCGTAGTTTGACGCTGCGACTTGTCGTTTGACTTCGGTCTTCAGCCCGGCGAGGTACGATTGTACTTTTTCCCCTTCGGTCAGGTCGGGAATGCGGTTATAAAATTCTTCCATCTGCTGCGTGTACTGTGATACACTCCCGAACTGTCGGTGTCGATGAATTTTTTCGCGGGCAAGAAAACTTGAATTTATCGGTTCGAAGCGTTTCAGCAGGTCGGCGCGGAACTGCTGCCACGTGGCTTCACCGTGGATGAAAGTACTGTTGCCGCCAATCCACTCGAGTGCCGGCCCTCGCATTAGTGTCGCCGCGAGTCGTACGCGTTGACCGTCCCAGACTGGCGAGCTCCATCCGACGGCTGCGAAGTAGATCTCCATCCCGGCGATCCATCTGCGGGCGTCGGAGTTTCGATCGCTCGGATCGAACGGCTCAGGTGGGCGCGGTTTCGGAGCCTCGAGAAACTGCTGCGACTGCTGCGTCGTCGCCGTTGTCGTCTCATGCTGCGCTCCGGCGAGTCGAGTTACTCGCTCGAACTGGTTTCGCCACGCTTCGCGATCTGCTCGCATTTCCTCCTGAAGGGCTGCGATGCGCGCGAAGAGCTGCTGGGTAACCTCGGCGGTGTCGAAGGTTGCCATCCTGTTCAAAACACGCACGGAGGGGGTAATTCGAAAATCGCGGAGCTGGTGCTTACCAGAATCGGCGTCGAATTGGTCGCCCCCGGCGGTTTTTCGAGGCAGGATCCCCGCTGCTGCTGCTTAGCTGAGCGCGGCCGAGTGAGAAAAGCTCTGATTACCAAGTGTCACAGGATCGAATGTGTCGAGGAAAGGTTGCACTATCGATCAGTACAAGGCGCTTTTATACTTCCAGAGTACATCAAGTAACCAGGTTTATCTTATCCTAAGGGAATAGACCCTTCTAGAAGATAGAATCACCCTGCGTATAGCCACGCGAGGCTATTGGCTTTAAGAGATTATGGCAGGATTACGCTAGATAGCGTGTCTAGAACATTCCATGCCTGGTCGGTGATATAATAATAATAAAGGAAGAAACCAAAGGATAATGGAAAATGGGGAATATGAGGCAAAAGGAGGTGAGATAAAAAGAGGAATGAAATGAAGATGAAATATGGAAAAGGCCAAGTGGTGTAACGGAGGCGTACTCTCACATGCATGCTGCTGACTAAACTGCAACACGTCAGCAACCTCGACCACATTGACACTCCAGAAATAAAGGAAGGCATTGGAAATGATAGAGAAACTTAAAAGACATTTCTGGAGTCTCGCGTGAGTGTACGAATACGCGAAGACTACAAGAACAAGGATCACCGAGTCAACATTGCTACAGTACCACCGATGGATGACATAGGTTGACGACACGTCGCAGAGGTTACGAAAGGGCAACGGTCGTTGATCGTTGACCGTGCAACCCAACAGTCAGAATTGCAAGAGTCAAGAGTCAGCGCAACAGCAATGACAAATAACCGCCCCGATATTACAGTACGGGTGGTTACCCGAGTCCCCTTATTGAGTCGTAAAAGGGAATGTACCCCTTGAAGTGCATAAACCTTGTATCCATTTGCTACAATCAATCACTTGTTCTCACATACCAGTAAAAGGGTTCAACTCAAGACTTCCACTGTGCTATAAAGCACTCTGTTACAAGGAAGATCCTAAGGCTATTCTCAACCAAGGTTTCAGCTAGGATTTAGGGCTGTCTGAAAATCAGACGGGGTTCCAAAGTTTCGTCTGACCATCAGACGAAAAAATTCAAGGAGTCTGAGATTTGAGTCGTTTTTTTCTCGCAAGTCTGAACATTCAGACGAAAAAATTGCCGCAAGAAACTTCGCCATTTTCAATTTAGACATCTATTTTTCTGTTTCCTTATGTCCTGCTGAGAGCATGTTCCTCCGAACGTCTTCTTCCCAGACTTGGACCCGCCTACGAGCGCGTTCGAAGGTTCCTTGTCCAGCTAAAATCGTTTCAGTATCACTATTCTCAGCTGCTTCGAATCTACTCGCGTCAAAATCGTACTGTACAGATGCGCGCCTGTCTAAAAAAGGCGCGTCTGAGAAGAAGTTCGAAAACAGGGCCTGAACCTTGACAGTCACGACCCCGCATCAGACCAAGCGGAACCGCATTGAACCGTTTTGCATAGAAATTTTAGCACGAGTCTGGGGAGATTGACCAGGGCATGTGTACTGTATCTGCCTACAGTTCCAGGGCCTCGCACGTAACGTGACGTGTCACGTACAAGCAACCCTCACTTTACGCACCGCCATTGCAGGTATACGGGGGGGAGGGTGTGGGAGGGTCTTTAGCAAAAATTTCATGGTCTAGCTGTGAGGGATTTCATCGGAAAAACATGGCTTGAGGGGTGTGTGGGGAAATGTATCTCACAATAAGGGTCTTAGCCGAATTTTCGGGGTTGTGCGTGGTGTGTAGAGGAATTTCTCTGGTGTGAGGGACTTTGCCGAAATTTTATTGCTGCGAGGGGTATGTGGAGGAGTATCTCTGGTTTGGAGGACTATGCCGGAAAAACTAGCAAAGACACAAAACTGGAGGTTGTGTTGGGGTGTGGGAGGAATGTATCTGGCACTCAGGGACTTGGCTGGAAAAACTCTTGGTTGTGGGGGACGGGGGGAGGGGCGTTGGGGAGAGGAGGAATGTATCAGACGAAAAAAACCGCGCTTTCTGAATTTTTAGACGAAAGTCTACACTTAGTCTGTACTTTCAGACGAAATCTTATGGCTTATCTGGACGATCAGACGAATTAATTTAGCCCGTAAAAAAATCAGATGAATGAGAAAAAAAGGTCTGATTTTCAGACCATTAGATTGATTTCGTCTGATATCTGCGACCCTGTTCTCAACCCAACATGAGGCATATTTCCAGAACTTTGTATGATTTTCTCTGTTATATCATGTATGGAGAACTTTTGTGGCCATATATAAAGTGATTTAACAAGCGCTGGTCATGGTCCTCGTAAATTACATACCTTGTTAAAAATATGAATGGTTTCGAACAATAAAAATGCAGGCATAAACAAAGAGGGGTATCTGGTCAAAGCCAACAGTGACACTATAATGGGGCGTTTATAACGAGTGGCTCTCTGCTTCCACAGCTGCAGGGACTTCCCGGCTGGATTCTGGATTCTACATTCCAGAGGCTAACGGCGAACAACTAGTAGTCCGTTTCTTAGCATTAGCATCGCAGCTGCAGCCATGGGTCGTTTTCCGTGGCTCCTCCTCGCACTCGTCGCTCTCCTGTGGGCAGATTCCACGTCAGCGCTGGTCTTCACGCTGCTGAAGCGCGAGTGCTTCCAGCATTTTGTGCCGACAGGCGGCGAGCCCGTCCACGTGTCATTCGTGGTCGTCAAATCGGATTTCGGCTGGGTGGGAGGCGAGCAGGCTAAAATTGATCTAACGGTAAACCGCCGCTGGAGCCGCCTAACGGTAGACCGCCGCTTTATGTGCTGCTCTATTGGTTGGCTTATGAGATTCAGAGCCCGTCCTTGGCTCGTACCAGGCATGATCCCCTTGCTCCCGATTTATTCCCCGTTACAAGACGAAGGTATTATCTTGTAGGAGTCGAAGTGAGTGTATGCACGGGATAGGAGTGAGGGTATGCGCGGGATAAGAGTGAGGGTATGCGCGGGATAGGAGTGAAGGTATGCGCGGGAAAGCAATGTTGCTAGGGGCCTGCTTTTGAGTCGACTCAAAAGCATACTAGGGGACTAGAGGGTGGGTATGCGCTAGGGCAGTGTGCCGATGCCTGTTGGAGCGAGGTGATTGCGAGGTTATGGCGACATGATGGCGACGTGATGGCAACATGAAGGGGAGGTGGATCGGAAGACCGAGGAGAATTCAATGCTCGGTCTACCGACCATCGCATACCGTGACAGTTTGCTTATCCCTGTGACTGTATTCAAACCGCCGGTGGAGAACTCCAGGGGACATGCGCCGAGAAAGGACGACGGCCAGAAGACCTAGGACGGTCACGGTTTGTCTGACCTTAAATCGTCTCCTCCCCGCTGGTCCAATTGTTAGGTGGAGGGCCCCAGGGGACTCGACCTGTAGCGGACCAGAGAACGGAGACTGATTTAATGTTCACCAGAGGACGTATCTTGAGTCATCTCTGTCTGTCAACCGACAGGCGGAGGATCCCAGGGGACACGAGCTGTAGCGGACCAGAGGAATGGCAGGTGGACACGAGCTGCGAAAAGTGCAGCAGAGGATGCAGGTCTACCTCGTGTTAACTTACATGTATGCCAAGACCTCTCGTGTACCGAACCGGCAGGTGGAGGACCCCAGGGGGCACGAGCTGAGGAAGATCGATCAGCGGACGGAGGATGATACCTTCGTGTTCACTGCGGACTGTGATGCATGCATATCTGTCATGCGCTTTTAAACCGGCAGGTGGAGGATCCCAGGGGGCACGAGCTGCGCAAGATTGATCAGAGGACGGATGATAACTTCATGTTCACCGCTGCCGTGGACGGGTTCTTCAAGTTCTGCTTCAAGACGGACTCCGCCATGCACGAATCCGTGGCCTTTAACGTGGAGAACGGCCACCCATTGAGCACTGAACACGTGGCAAGAAATGGTAAGGCATGATTGGAGTAAGCTGATTCAACTTCTGCTTCAAGACGGACTCTGCCATGCACGAGTCGGTGGCTTTCAATGTGGAGAACGGCCTCTCTTTGAGCACTGAGCATGTGGCAAAGAAAAGGTAAGGCGTGATTGGAGCAAGCTAAATCAGTTTCTGGTTCAAGACAGACTCCGCCATACTCGAGTCGGTGGCCTTCATTGAAGGCCACCGAATCGCCAAACGGGTCACCCCCTGAGCACCGAGCATGTGGCCAAGAACGGTAAGCAGCTAGAACAGTAACTCAATCTGAGCTCTGCTTCAAGACAGACTCGGCCGTGCATGAGTCGGTGGCTTTCAATGTGGAGAACGGAGATCCCCTGAGCTCCGAACACGCAGCAAAGAATGGTAAGCATCGATAACATGACAGAGGATAGATTTAGGCTTTTGTTTAAAGGGGGACTCGGCCGTCCATGGCAGTGTAAGACGGGATCAGCTGTGCACGGATTCGTGTCTAGTGACCAGAAACAAGCCTTCACTCTCTCCTCCCCTCACTCTGCCTGCCTCCACTGTTTGGCTTTGACCTCCCCCTATTACTGTGTGAGTCAATGTAGGCTACGTGACATTAAGCACGTTTAGCATATCATATGCTACCGTATATACACTGGATGCTAGAATTCTTCCTGGACATACGCTAGATATACGCTTTGCCGGGCAGCCTAAAAGAAGTTCAGGCAGGGTCCAAAAAGTTTCTGAGGGGAAGGAAGAAGGGGGGTGCAGTGGCAGGACAAGATTTACAGGTCCTTAGCGCGGCTACAGGTGCGTTTAGGAGGTAAAAATGCAGCTGGTCTAACTAGCTCGCGGCAGATTAGGTCGAGAGTTGGCGTGAGGGGGAAATCGTGATTCCCCTCTCATGCAGAGCACATTAGAGGTGGCGATTGGGAATTCTAGTTGCCGTAAGGTTGAATGAATTCGGTGGCGAGGAGGGAATTTGGTTGGAAGTTGAATTTTGGTTAGAGTGTTCAGATTCGTGATTTGGCAACAATCCAGTTGAATTCGCCAGATGGCATATCCGCGGAAAAAGAAAGAAAAAAGTGCGTTTTTTTTGTTTTCGGGGCTGCTTGAAAAAATTCAGCCAAGCGTTTGGCGTATTTCTGGCGTATATCGTATGGCGTATATATGCAATACGCCAACCTTGAGGAGCGTATAATGTCACGTAAAATGTACGTGGCTGTTTACTGTATGCGGTTATTTACACATGGCTGGGCTGGGCACTGTGCATGCTGTTTACAACACATCGACATTCACTATGTATGGCCATTTCAGTGTACACAACCCATTTACTGTCGGCGCCCGTTCAAAGTACTTGGCTGTTTACTACACATGGCCGTTCACTGTGCTGGACTGTTCGTTGTGCATGCTTGCTCATCTCGCTTGCATGCCTGCTCTCTTACATGTCCGTGTATCTGCCATGCTGCGCACCAAGCATGATAACTGCTTGTACGTGGCTGTCACTCATACATGCCTCCTCATTGTACACTGTGCTTGCCCATGCAAGTGCATGCTGCCGGAACAATCGAGCCGCTACTGAAGGAGGTGAATCGCCTGCACAGGGAGGCGATGCGCACCAAGCAGGAGAGGAGCTCTTAGTTAGCTGCTGTCACTCATTCATGCCTATTCTCTGTCCACTGTGCATGTCTGTGCATATGTGTGCGGCCAGACCTAGTTGAACCGCTACTGACGGAGGTGAACCTGCTGCACAGGGAGGTGATGGGGCGCGAGTGAGAGGGGGCAAGCAAGATTCACTGCATGTGCGCGGCTGTCTGTCACTTATGCATGCCTCCTCTCTGTCCACCATGCTTGCCTCTGCGTGTGCTTGTGGCAGACCAAATCGACCCACTAGTGAAGGAGGTGAATCGGCTGCACAGGGAGGTGATGCGCACCAAGCACGAGATCCACTACTCCTTCTACATCGCCGAGCAGCACGCGCAGGGTGAGAGCCAGTGCGTGGGGTTCATTTGAAAGAGGTGCACATCGAAGCACTGGCTCTGCACTGTGCACATTCAAGCACTGGGAGAAGATGCGCACCAAGCACCGCCTCTCCTCTCCTCTGTGCACCTCTCCGCGCCTGCCCTGCCGTCCTGTTCACTTGCCGTGGGTGGATCAGTGCATGGCACAGAGGGTTCTGGTAAGGCTGGGTTACCAGCAAGTGCTATCATCTTTCTTGGCCTGTGCTCCTCTGCCCTTCCCTTCCCCTTGCACTATTTTTGACGCCTCAAAAATCCCTTCCCCTTGCACTGGACAAAGGGATGGCTCAGAGATTCTTGGCAAAGGCAGGTAATCTGATTCTGCGGTGTCCGATAACCCCCCTTGCCCTGTGCACCACCCGTGCCCTCCTTTTTATACCCCTTCCAATCGACAAGCAGACGGCACAGAGTGTGACGCCCTTGCGGTGCTACAGGCGGACGCACTCATCTGCCTTGTCCCCCTGCCCTGTGCCACCCCTCCCTGCCCTATGCAACCCCCCTGACCTGTGGCGGCTTTCCTCTGCCTTGCCTTTCTCTAGTGGACTATTGGACGGCACAGAGGGTTCTGGCGTGGCGAGTAGCTTTTCTTGTGCACTGTGTGTGTGCCTCCTGCGCTCCCGTCCCCCCCCCAGTGGACAAGTGGGCAGCTCAGAGAGTTCTCACCAAGGCAGAGCTGCACGTGCCACTCCAAACTCCTGCTCACTTTGCCTTTCCCTCCCCTGCCCTCCCTTTTCCTTCCAGTGGACTCTTGGACAGCACAGAGAGTTCTTGCCGAGGTGGAGCTACAGGCGGCTTGGCTGGTGCTCGATTCGCTTTGTCTGTCCTGCCCTGCCCTCTGTTCCCCTTCCCTCCCTGCCTTGGTGTTTCCTTGCAGTCGACAGGTGGACGGCACAGAGAGTTCTCGCCAAGGCAGTGCTACAGGCAGGAGCTCTCGTCACGTGCGGAATAGTGCAGGTGTTTCTGCTGCAACGACTCTTTGAGAAGAGGCTTAAGATGAGCCGAGTGTAGCACAGCACACAAAGACTCTTAAGCTCCTCAAGCAGTGGGTTTTAGGCAGGGTAGCTTTTCAGGTAGTGGGTGCTCTCCTCACATGCGGAATAGTGCAGGTGTTTCTGCTGAAGCGGCTCTGAGAAGAGGCCAAAACTGAGCCGGGTATAGGACATGCTGCATGCACTCATTGGCTCTTCAAGCAGTGGGTTCTATCAGAAATAATAATAACTAGAGTGGGGAGATACAAGGGAATATAGTCTAGAGAGTTGTACCCATTAAGGCACAAACATATATAGTCTACAGTAACTGCATAAGTTATGTTTGACACACCCCCTAAACAATATAGGGGCAGTGCCTAACAAGGGAAGAAGCAGCTCAGGGCGGCACTACCGTATGTTAGAGTGAGAACGAATAATGACTAGAAGTGGAAACCTAGAACAAATACTAGTTGGTTGTACTCACTAGAAGCATACCTCAGTCTAGCCTATAACTTCTACATAGATTATATGTATAAGTTGACACCGTAATCCCTCGTATTAAACACTCTATGGTGATAATAAAAATGCAGCGAAATTTTGGGCTGGGTGTAATTAAAGGCAAAAAAAATAAAAACACCCAGGACTTATGGAATGTGCATATGCATTTTTTTTATTGGAATTCAAGTGTGCATGTTTTTGTTAAAGTCTGAACTAGGAAAAACAGAGGAGGCCGCCATGAAATGGCGGCCAAGGGTTTAGCTAGGAAGTTGACGAGAGAGAAGAGGATTAGATTAGGAAGAGAGAGAGTACAAGGAGGGGTTTGTACCCTCTACAGTAAGGTTCGGTAACCTACCAAGCCTAACAATTATATTAAAATATAATTTGAACACACCCCCTAGGCTTGGTAGTGGCAAACCCACACAACCCACACACACACCCCCTCACCCCGGACACCCTCATTCTCGTGAGCAGCCGGGTATCGACCTCTCGTGCTAGGCTATGACACCCCCGGTCGAGAGGCAGCTGGCCGCATCTGGGCGGCCTCAATGACGACAGCGGCGGAGCTCGTGCTCAAGGCGGCTGTGTCGATGAGGACAGGCGGCGACTGCGGCGGCTGAGGGCTCTCGGCGGTGTGGCACGGGCTGGCGACGACCGAGCCGAAGACAGCAGCTACGGCAGGAGCAGGAGGAGATGCAGGGGAGGGAGAGGTGGTGGGGCTGCTGTGGTGGGGCTGCAGGACTTCAGCGCGGCGCCATAGGCGCGGCGCTTACTGGCGGGAGGAGGAGGCGGGACGGGGCCCAGGAGGGGCGCGACTGGGCTAGGAGGCACGGCAGGGCCCAGGAGGGGCGCGACGTGGATAGGAGGCACGGCAGGGCCCAGGAGGGGCGCGACGGGGAGGTGGAACGGCGGAGCCGCCACGTCAGGGCGGCAAGCCCAGCACGGCTGCTCGACGTGGCAGCCATGCGACATGGCCGCCACGGCGGCACGGCAGGAGCGACGAACGCACGAGAACGCAGCGGAAAGCACGGAGGGGAGCAGGCCCAGGAAGGGCATCCCGCTCTCGATACCATGTTAAAGTCTGAACTAGGAAAAACAGAGGAGGCCGCCATGAAATGGCGGCCAAGGGTTTAGCTAGGAAGTTGACGAGAGAGAAGAGGATTAGATTAGGAAGAGAGAGAGTACAAGGAGGGGTTTGTACCCTCTACAGTAAGGTTCGGTAACCTACCAAGCCTAACAATTATATTAAAATATAATTTGAACAGTTTTATCACCTTCATTTGAGTCAGATACCCACTTTTGGTCATTTCATTGCATACCGGGCGATATTGCCCATCTGCATGCCACATTGGCACTGCGCGTGCAGTGTCAGAGAGGATGCTGTCAGAACAACCAATCGGCACACGTTTGATTTGGCGGGACACGCGAAAGTCGAGTACAGTATGAAACTTTCGGGTTTCACTGTTCTCGGTGTTTTTGTTTTCGTTCGGGCAGATTCGTCTCCTACATACATACCCGCGTCGCGAGCTCGTTTTCCCCACTTGCTTTGACGTACATACGGTTGCCCCAGCAGGAGTGGAAAATCGAATGGCTGCACACATCTACGCACCGCAAAATTCTGGTGTTTCGTGCTAAAAATGGAGATTCTAGGTGGCAGGGGGCAGGGCTGACTTTATCAGACTATTTACTCTGATTAGTCTGAAATCTCAGATATGTTTTTTGGCCAAACCTGAATTTCCAGATAAGGCATTTTCCCAATCCTGATCCCTTCAGAGTACGATTCTAGGGATCCTGAGAAAATCAGAGTTGTCGCTAACCCAGTACTGAGTTTTCAGAGCACAGCGCGTACAGACCCTAACTCATTACCTGTACAGTACCAACCTTCGAAAAATTTGGTGAAGTCCCCAATCGCTAGAGACATGCCCCACATACCCACAACCCCTAAAAATTTTCGGCCAAGTCCCCGAACCCTAGAGACAACCCCCACCCCACACCCCACAACCCATCTAAAATTTCGGCGAAGTCCCGGAACGCTAGAGACATCCCCCACACACCCCACAACCCACCCTAAATTTCGACTAAGTCATGTTGTCAGATACAGTCCTCCCTAACACCTGGAACAACCCATAAGTTTTGAATGAGACTTTCACTTTTTTTTGAACTGCATTGAAATGAGAGTAAATTCCGCATTTTTAACATACGGAAATTCTCGCCAGTTGCCCGTTTGGTCAACTGAAAGTCTAACAAAATGTAACGGTCACGATCGTTTGCGATCGTTTCGACGTATATCAATCGTTCGATGTTATATAGCGATTAACGTCCAAGATTTCCCAACCGGGGCGCTGCAAGGGCGCGAAATTTCTCCCACCATCCTATTCCCCAGCTTCCCCCCTCCCTGCCGTTTCGATTCCCCCCTTCCCCTCCATTTTCGCTTCCCCCCTCCCCTCCGTTTCGATCACTTCCCCCTTCCCTTCCGTTTCGCTTCCCCCATCCTCTCCGTTTCGACCGCCCCCCCCCCTTCCCCCCCCTCCCCTCCGTTTTGCTTTCCTCGTCCGAGAGTAGGGTGTTGTGTATATCCAGAAGAATTAAACACCCATACCCGCTCAAGCTACCTGGGGGAGCTTAATTCCGGCGGGTGTTTTATACGGGGGATTACAGTACTAGTCCAGCCTCTGAGACAAAGGTCTAAAGACCAGTCAAAGGAATACAGACAAGGCAAGAGCAAGACCAGGGCGGCACTACTAGTCCAGCCACTGGGAAAGGCCACAAGGCCAGTCAGGGTAAAATATATATATAAAGGACAGTACAAGGTCAAGGCCCTAGCAAGTGAGAGGCTACAAGAACGAGACCTAGCTGTACACAGTGCCGCTGATGATCTTTAGGCGCAAGCGCCTTCGTAAAGATATCAGCCGTGTTGGCACCTGAGGCCAAGTGTACTACGCGCGCCTGGCGGCGCTGGTGGAGCTCACGCAGGAGGAAGTACCGCAACTGGATGTGCTTCGTTCTGCCCTCGAGTCGAGGCTCCTGACGCAGGAGGATCATGGCCCTGTTGTCAACGTATAGGACCGGGGCAGAGCTAGGCCGCTCACCTAAGTCAGTAAGCAAGAAGGTTAGCCAGCGGAGCTCCTGTGCCGCCATGGCACCGGCATAGATCTCGGCCTCACGGCTGGACTGGGCAACAGACGAGGAGCGGGTAGCTCTCCACGAAATGGCACCTGAACCAAGGGTGAAGCCAGTAGCCCTGCGAGGACCTGAGGGTCTCGGCGTCGTCTGCCCAAGAAGCGTCTGTATGTCATGTAAGGACCACTGGCCTGCGTCCTCCTAGCACTAACCCCATGCCCGATGTACTCGCAAGATAACGCAAAACCCTCTTAGCGGCAGACCAGTGCTGAAGTCGGTGTCTGCCTGCAGCCACAAAGCGAGCCAGGATGCTGAGAGGGTATGCGAGATCTGGGCGAGTGCAAGTCATCAGATACATGAGGCAACCCACCAGCTCTGCGTAACGACCACTGGGCTCTGCCAACTCCTCAGGAACTGGAGCGGAGAGCCTGTGGTCAAGGGGCAGAGGAGTGGGCTGTGCGGAGGAGAACTGAAGAACCTGGCGCACCAAGTGTGACTGAGTCAAAGTGATAGTGCGCGCTGCTCTGTCCCTGGAGATCTGCAAGCCAAGGTAGTGGCGCAATTCTCCAAGGTCAGTGCAGGTGTGTCTCTTAAGCAGCTCTGGCTTCACTGAGGCCAGTGTGTCGCTGTCTGCCGTGGCGAAGACCAGGTCGTCTACATAAACAAGGATGTAGAACGGGGTCTGGCCAACACGAACGAAGAGCGAGGGGTCTGCAGAGGACGGAAAGAACTGCAGGTCAGCAAGCGTAGCACGCAACGTGTCGTGCCACTCCCGGGGAGCTTGCCGCAGGCCGTAGACGGGGCGCCGCAGGAGCCACTTGGTCCCAGGAGGGAAGGTACCAGTGAAGCCCTGAGGGCGGCGCAGGTAGACCTGCTCGTGTAGATTGCCCTGAAGGAACGCAGTGGAGAAGTCGAGGGAGTGAAGCTCGTAGTCACGCTGAGGTGCTACGTGTAGTAGCACCCGAAGAGTAGTCATCTTCGGGGTCGGAGCGAAAGTCTGGAAGAAGTCCACTCCCTCACGCTGACTGAAACCTCTAGCCACGTAACGCGCGTTGAACACAGGCGGCTCTCCAAGAGGGCGCTTCACCTTGAAGAGCCTGCGGCCATCGACTACGTTCACCCCAGGTGGGGGAACTGCGTCGACATAAGTGCCGGTGGATCTCCAAGATGCCATCTCCTGCTCCATGGCAGCTATTTCACGCGACGGCCAGGGGGCCGGCTAGGGACGAACGCGACGGCCAGGGGGCCGGCTACGGACTGGGGCGACGGCCAGGGGGGCCAGCTAGGAGCGGGCCAGCTAGGGCCTAGGGGGCGGAAGTGTGGGCGGGCTAGGGGGGAACCTAACCTACGATGATACCATATCAGAAAGAATAATAACTAGAGTGGGGAGATACAAGGCAATATAGTCTACTGAGTTGTACCCACTAAGGCACAAACATATATAGTCGACAGTAACTGCATAAGTTATGTTTGACAGGTTCCTCCTGGCGGGGCACTGTGGTCGCGAGTGTGCTCTTTACTGTAAAAGTGAACCACAGTTACCGTACAATCGAATTAGTGCAAGTGTTTCTGTTGCAGCAGCAGCTATTTGAAATGTGGTTTGGCTCATGACCATGGCTGACGTTTCAAAAAAAGGCACTCTGAGCTGACCCCCCCAAAAAAAAAAAATAGTCTGAATGGCCTTCAGCCAGAATTTAGGGACTCTGAAATGTC